CTTAGTTTTGGGGAAGGAAAATGAGAAGAAAAAAACTGCCTCTGCCTACCAGCATTCATGATATTGAGCTGGCTAATGTCCCGTCAGTGTGTGAGTTCATGGCTTGGTCAGCCAATTAATAGGCATAGCAACTAAGTCAGCCAATGAGAGCTGTTTGGACTCTGAAACAGTATTTGCTGTCTGAGCAACAAGGAGACAGGAAGGAGCCTGGCTTAGCTGAGAACTGAAAGTGAAACTGCTTGGGTTTTACTTGTATTTACTGCTACCTTGGTAAAACCTGCTTTTGGTATTGTATTGTATATTATTATTATTTTGAATCCTGCTGAATCAGTTACTTGTGTGTGCTTTCTGAATGTTGTTGCTTCTGCCAATTCTGGCCAGCCAGGGTCACTGATTGCACTTATTGCAACTTGATTCAGCACAGCTGATTGGCGGGTGTATCGAACTGCCGGAATACCCCCAATCAGCTGTACCAGGCTGCAGGGATTTCCACAGACCATTGCTGCCTCAATGCCTCACATTTTTGGCTTCTGGTGTGGGTGGGTGGGGCTACATTCAATGTATAAGGCATACCCAAAATTTTCTCCCTCTTTTTTGGGGGAAAAGATGCATCTTATACTTGAAAAATATGGTAATCATGGCATTTTGGCTTTTTCCTCACATTTGTATCCTACCTATTTTTAAAGAAATTTCAATTGTTAAATTATCTTTAGTAGGATAAATAGTTAACAGGGAAGGCTATATAGTGACAGTGAAAGCTAATTTTACTTAGAATTACACTTCAAATCATAGATTAAAAAATTGAATAAAAAGACCAGGTGAATTGTATCTAATAAAAATTCAGAGCATTGTACTTTTTGTTGTGTTGTTCATATCCATTTAGCCAGAATTGACTAAAGTGAATTGTATGATTATCAGCTTCTCAAATTTATATCCAGAAAAGGGATAATGGAACATCAAAATATGACTTCCTAGGGTGTCAAAATGATTGGAATTGGCCTTACTTATAGCATAGAAATCCTTCAGTATCATTTTTTAAAATCATATTCTCATCGCGTTGCTTTCAATGATCGCATGTCGCACAGCTGAGCTTCGGAACTTTTTATTTTACTTTTTAAGCATTTTTTTACTACAGGTTCTCCAGAAATGCAGGAGTGGGGGGGGAGGGGTCCATTTTTGCTCCCAGCAGGCTTCCCTAAAGCCTGCTAGGCCAAAAACAGGAGGGATGGGGGGAGGGTGCTGAGAATGAAAGAAAGAGAGAGAGGGAAAAAGGAGAGGAAGGAAGGACTACAAACCTGGCATTAGACACAGCTAGGCTGGAAGGGACCTGGAGGTCTTCTAGTCCAACTCTGCTCCAGCAGGACATTGTTAAAGTGAGTGTCTGTCTTTTGATCCCCCAGTTACATGACTACATAGCCACGCCCACCCAATCACATGACCCACCACCACCAAGCCATGCCCAGAGAACCAGTAATAAAAAATCTAGATTGCACCACTGTCTGAATCCATGATGAATCCATGAATGGCAGGCCTGTATCACTCTTAGCTGTTTTGATATTAAAATTGCATTTATTGCCTTTATTCTGATGTGAATCAAAGACAGTCTCAAGGTATATAAAAATGGTTAGCTTTTGTCAACCTTTACCTTGGAACAAAATCAGAGTACTGTTGTGATTTCAAAGAAAGGCAAACTAGGAATCAGTAGTGAGGGAAGTTAGGATATTTTTCTTCTGACCCAGCATAGAATAATGAATAAAGAGCATCTCAATTCAATAGTGGGAAAGCTTTTCTGTCTCAGTATGTTGTGCTGCAATACACAGGCTAACACTATTGAATATGATCTTGACAAATTTATTGAAAAAAATGAGAGGTGGGGGAAGGAGAACTGGAAACCAAGTCCTCTGAGGAAAATTGCAGATATGTGAAGCAGTCTAAAGTGTTGTCAGAGACAGTAAGGAATAGACTTGCTCTTTATTGCCTAGAGAGAAATGCTAATGGGTTGAAACTACAGAGAAGTAGATTCAGGGTAGGTGTTAAGACAAATTCCTTCATAATAACTAATGTTGGTAAGTGGAATAGCTTGCTTCCTAAGTGGTAAGTTCCCCTTCACTAAAGATCTTCACATGGGCTGGATATCTGTCCAATACTTTCTATTTGTCCAAAATGCTTCAGTGGATCCTGCATCAAGCAGAGGATTGGACTCGATAACTTTTGAGGTCACATCCAATTCAGTGAGATGATATTTTTATAAAAGAATAATCTGCTGAGCAATAAGAATAATTTAGCCAACAGCTAAGGAATGAACTTTCCCTTTTTAAGACTATTAACAAATATAATAGATATGTCATACAATGCAGCTATACCTTCAAATTTGTACTGAGAATGCCTTGTGTGTGAATAAATGTGGATTGTTGATTTCCTTACTTTCAGGATCAGAGGCAGTACTTAACCATTGCTGCTTTTGTTATTAATGTTTTTTTATAATTTAATATGTTTTATGTACAGTATGTATGCTTTTTATTTTTTGCAAAGTGCAGCTCAGTAACATTTTCAGCTCACAGACTGAGGTTCAATAATAATTTCTGTGAAACAAGCTGAGAGTTTTTCTACTCTTAACTCTTCCTGATTCCTAATTTGATTCACAGGCTGATTACTATAATATGTATTCAAATATGACTATGATTATCTCCAATCAGCAAGTCAAAAGCAAAGTGCATTTATTCTAATTAACACATGAATTTACCAGTCTAGGTGTACATAGTAGTATCTAATCTAATCTAATCAATCTAACTCTTTCCTTCCACTTTGTTATTTTCAAGATGACAGCTTTTAGCCACATAATTGTTAATTAATAAACTTCATTTTTTAAGGGAGAACTTTTTAATTTTTTTAGACTAGAAATTAATAATAATTTGTCTTTAGAAAAGAATCATAGCAAGATTGCCTGTTTAAATGAATTCTTATAGATGCACAGTTAGCTCTGAGATTTTTACACATATTTCAAAGTGGTAATCGAAAATAAAAGGACAAAAAAACAAGAAATACAAACCTGAACTAAGTGAGGCAACATTAGAGTAAAGTAATAGGAATTGGTATAAAAATTATCTTGAAGGTGGAATCTAACATAAGAAATCTATGTGTGGAACTTAATCTAAAGAACAAGTCATCTTGAGTAAACAAATGAGCCTTCATATTTTTTAGGAGAAGATGTGCATTGATACTGAAGAGCATGTGTTGACACTAAACTTTGAGAAGAGTGACAACTTTTTTTGGACTGGAAAACAATTCCCAAGTTACACCTCACAACTTGTCTTTGAAACTGGAACATATGATGTTTAAATTTCATTAGTGTAATTTCATCTGTATAGGAGAACCATTAATAATAAAATACATGTTTTTGTCAGCACCTCTTCATTGAGTAATTAGGAAAGAAGACCACAAGACTCCATAGGTAGAAATCAAGTGTACTTTTACTAATTATAAATGATTANGGGCATTTAACCACTGCGCCACCTCGGGCTAGTATGCCAAACCCAGTTTTAACCTAAGTCTGCTCACACTGTCCTATGTAAGGTGAGATCTCCAATCCAGTGACTGTTATTCATTGAATGTACATACCGTATTTTTCAGAGTATAAGACGCACTAAGATTTCGAAGAGGTAAATTTTTTTAAAAAGTTTTTTTTGTGTGAAAAACAGTGCATGCAGAGAATTTGAGATGCCTACAAAGTGCTCCTGGGGGCTGGGGGGCAAAAACAAGCAAAAAACCTGACCATCTTATGCAAAAATGGGCCCATTTTTGCCAAAAAAGGGCATGCATAGGCTTTAGGAGGCTTGTAGAGTGCTTCTGGGGGTAGGAGTGGGGGCAAAAATGAGCAAAAAAGCATGTTTTTTTGCTCATTTTTGCCCTTCCCAGCCTCCAGGAGCACTGTGCAGGTCTCCCGAACCCTCTGCACATCCATTGTTGCAAAGGAGGTGGGGTTTTGGGAGGCCAAAAATGCTGTATTTGTATTCGGTGTATAAGATGCACCCAGATTTTTACCCTCTTTTCTGGGTGAAAAAGGTGCGTCTTATACTCCGAAAAATACGGTAGTTGCTGATCAGTGCTGATAGACTGGGAATGGTTATCAGCATCAAGAGAGAAATTTTACATTATCGCCATCACTATTTGTTATTGCATTAATTCCTGGATCCACAATACTGAACAAGGGAGGCCCTGGCTATCAAACATCAGTAACATCTGCCAAACTATTCCCCCTCATTTACATGCATAATCTGAAGCTGAATAGATAATATGTAATCTGAAATAGAATTGCTTCTCAAGATTGTTTAAATATACAGTCAAGATCACAATTAGTTTGGACTGGACCAGTGACGTGCAGTGAGCTTCATGGCTGGTGAGGCAAGCACGAAAGCCCCGCCGAAGCCCCAGCACTGTGTCTGCCATAGAGCGGGACCAGGACCCACTCTATGGCGGATGCAGTGCCGGGACTTTAAAGCCCTGCCGCCAGGGCCCTGCCGCCACTTTAAAGCCCTGCCGCCCGGGATGCGGCAGCAGGGCTTTACAGTGGCAGCAGGGTCCCGGCGCCGTCCGCCATAGAGCGGTTCTGCTCTATGGCGGACGGCGCCGGGAC